ACACAGGGCATTCAGAAACGGCAAAGGCTTTGGAGTCAACAAAGGCTATCCACCTTCCCAACGCAGAGGAGGAAGCCAGCACTCCCATGTGATGCGGTGCGGGCTGGAGCTATAAATAGCTTCTAAAAAGGTTAGCAAAATGCACAGATGACAAATCTACAGTAGGTTACTAAGGGAAACCAGGATGCTCAGTGCCAGCATCTCACCTGTTGCAGCTGATGCCTGGAAGGAACCCTGGGGTTCCACCCAGGCTCTGCTCACCGGGCTGAGCAAGGATGGAACACGGGGCTACAAGGACCCAGAGTCTGGTGTTGTGAGTGGCATTTCCTAAACCCTACTCATGTTCCCTGCAGGCCTTCTCCAAAGTAGGAAAACCTTTTTCCTAATCACATCTCTGTCTGCTTCCCATAAGCCCACTTGTTCCCAGTTTCCTCACCTGGCAGAAGTCTACCTTGAAGGGTGTTGTGAGGATGCCCTGCCTGGAAGTAGGAGGAGCCTGGTGAGTGGTGATCCCATGGCCGTTTCTCCTTCCCCTTTCTCATCATGCCAGGCCCTTCTGCTGAAATGCAGAAGGTGGGGCATGCCAAGCCTGCCTCCGGTGGAGATTCCCTTCTGTAGGGGAAGTGCCTTGTGGGCACCCAGAGGGCATGCAGGGCAGTCACAGCTGCTGGGTTATGTCAAGTGAAAACAAATCTCACTTGTCATTGAAAAAGCAACACCAGGGGACACAGAGTAAAAGATATTTATAGCTGTCATGGACACATCCCTGAACTTGTGTGTTGAAGTTAACAGACATAGAAACAATACATCCCAAAGCACACAAATGGACTTCCACACACTGAGACAGTGGCTAAATCTGGAACTCTAGGGATCCCAAACTCACCCTCAACACACATCCTCCTGGGTGTGGATATTCTGGGACCTGAATAAACTGGGCTTCAGTCCTTCCCTCTCCAGAGTATCAAGTTCTGACTTCCTGCCAAGGATTAAGAGATCAGCCTGGAGCCCACAGCTACAGAGCAGCTTGCCAGGCACTCCCCACTGGCCTGTCTGGACAGAGAGCGAGAGCTCCTTCCACTTCCCATTGCTCCAAACAGTGCATTGGCAGGAGGGAAAATCCCATCTCTCCAGTCCCTCCCTGAGCAGACACTGGGGTTGCTACAGAGCCTACACTGAAGTCCTGAAGGCTGGTCAGGAAAGGAGAAGCTCCACAGAGGTCCAGGCAGGAAGCCAACCCCTCACCCCCAACACACACGCAAGGCCCCCAGTGAGAAGGAAAATGCCTCGGTCAACTTCCACTCCAAAATGCTTGGCAGTCAAAATGTCACAGCTGCTCCTAGACCACCCATGGGCTTGGCCAACAGAAGGGAAACCTTCCCTTTGGCAGTGATGCTCTGAGTGTGCTGGGATGTCCCCAGGCAGAGCACATGATGGGGACTGAAGTCCAATACACTCTCTCTCCCGTTCTCTCTCTCTGTCTGCTAATAGCAGCAGAGGTCAAGTGGAAAGCAGCCTGCTCTAGAAGGCCAAAGGTCATCTACAACAATCACCCTTTGACTGGTAGATTCCCTAATATGTCAATCGGGCAAATGATGCTTGATTTGAACTTGACTGGGGTTAAGGCAGGGACCATGAGTGAGCAAGTGGACTAGAGGTTCCAAACTGAGGGAGGCACTGTTGCTGTTATTCAAATACAATGAGTGCCCACATGCATGAGTGAACATTTTGGAGAGAAGGCAACTGACCTGTAGTGCCATGAGCTGCCTCATTCCATCTTAACTCTCTGAAAGTAGAACCAGCTGAAGGCTACATACCCTACTTGTTTGTCAAATTCTGCACAGAACTCTAAGCTATTTCTCTTCCATCAATGGGGATACGGGCTCTGCTTAAGATAGAAAACCATCTGATACAACAGGGCATCTATGGCAGGGAGCACTGGGCTTGGAACCATGGATCCCATAATAGGGACTATAGGAGTGATAACGTGCAAAGCTGTTCCACACCTCTGTTGAAAAGGTTCTAGGATCTGGCATTCTAGTGGAATTTCTATCAACTCCAGGCACAATACACTGTTCTCTTCCATTCTGTGAACATTTACCCCACAAAACTGCCATAGTAGAATACAATAATTTCCTGTACTATTTGTCACTCACCCACTATGTACAAAGTATCAGTTGCTTTTAAATATGTTAAAGAGTTAAAGCCAGCCTATAACCTTGCAATGCAGATTCTAATTATCCACGTTTTTACTAGATCACAAAGGTAAATAATTTAGCTAGAATCACATGACTAGCTAAGGTGGAGATCTGAGCCCAAGCCTGTTTTGTTCCAAAGCCCATGGACCTTTTTCTGCTGCTCACTAGGCTTAAGAATTTGTGTATATATATATATGGATACATATATATACAAATCCTTAATGTTTTTATTTTTTATTTATATGTTTATTTATTATTATTATTGTAAGATGAATCTGATATGCATTCCTAGAAGCCTGAGGTCTTAATGGCCAAGTACAATGTAGAAATCTCCTACCTAACACATGAACAGAGACCTGAGACAGACATTTCTCCCTATGCTGACATCAGCCGTGGTAGATCCCCAGTTTAAATTCATTCCTTTGAACTCCTCAGGTGCAAAAGTACCTGGACATAGTACCAGGTACACAGCAGGCACTTGCCATGTGGTCTCATCATTGCTAAGTTGCTTCTTAGTAATAAACCCTCAAATGCTGGGAGATGAAATATTACTAGCTTTGATGCAAAAACAAAAGTCTAGACACTGGGAGAAACACCAATGGGGCCTAACACACATCTTGGCCAACAGAGTAGGTGTCCCACCACTGGGTGAAAACAGTAGTATTTGAGCCTTACTAATACGTTCATCCTGTTTGGTCTATATCTTATGATCCTCCACTGGAAAGAGTAATTATGGCAATATATGGAAAGCCCTGGTTTTGTAAGTGGGGTCAACTTCAAGTGACTCTGGATCTAAGTTTTCTCCTCTATAGAGGTGCCATCCATCACCCACTCAGAGAATGGCTGTGAAGATTACAGGTACCACATCTATGGATGCGCAAACAACCCAATCAACCCTGTGGCATCTCAGCATTCCCATGGTGTCCTGTGTGTATAACTACTTCAAATTGGAGCAGATTCAGACCCCTTCCCAATCCTAGCAACACCCCTCAGTAGCTGTGTGACCTCAGGCAAGCAACCTACCTTCTCTGAGCCTGTCTCCTCACTGCAAAAATGGAATACCACCTATCTCATGGGGCTGTTTTATAGAGTAAATAAAGTAATATTTGCATGTGGCTGCCCCTGGCCCGTTATGTAGGAAAAAACTCAGGAAATACTAGTAGGGTTTAAATGTGCTTAGAACAGCTCTAACTACACACATCCTGTTGAACAGGGAGTGCGGTCAAAAATTATCATGGTCACAAGTAAAGGAGATAAGAGAAAGGAAGGTAGTGAGAAGTTCAAATTAGAGGCGATTTTTAAAAAACCTTCCTCTTTTCAACCAATAAAGTCAACCGCTTGTTTATCAATAACATGACTTAAAAGTCAGTCTTAGTTGATTGAGCAAGCTCTGCCCCTTGCCCTCCACATCCTTCAATGAAGGTAGAAGGAATAACGACTACAGGGCAGGCAACCAAAGGGGGCCCAGGAGAGCTGAGAACTGGCTGTACTGACCTGGGCCATTTTGGTGAAAGGGGGTGGCCTCAGGCACCTTGAACTGCCAGCAGTTCTCTATCTTCAGACCTTCCTCTAACAGTTTAGAAATGAGAGGTCACATGAAGGCACTCCCCTCAACAAGGCATGTTTCAGAATCTAACCCAAACTCTAATTACAGTTCTGAAATCCAAATCTAGACAAGCTTCAAAGAACAGCACTATTGAGCACACAGTGTGTGCCAGGTTCAATGCTAAACATCTGCCATACAATAGCTGCACAAGGGGATCATCTTACTTTTTTAACCCCATTTTGCAGATAAGGAAATTCTACTACTGGACTTCCCCCAAAGACATTCTCTAAGACTTTCAGCTGCTCCTATGTTCTCAAGGACGTAAGTCTGTATGACATGTGGAAACTTCTGCCAGAGTCTTCAACTCTAATGATAGTGCTGGATTCTACAAAATTCATCACACACAATCAGCTTAGCCCCAGAGCAAAAGTGGGTTTGAGAAGAGGCTGAAGCTGGGACAGGGAGAGAGAGAGAAGACCTTAGTCCTTTAGAGAAGCACAGCCTGGCCACCTCTGATTTGCAAACACTGGCCAGAGGCTGCAGGGCAAAGTGTGCATCTTCTTTCTACACAATTAATCTCTCCCAAAGAAAACCCAGACAAAGTCACCTGGCCCTTCTGAAGTAGGGCCGGGGGGAACCCCTCCTCCTCCAAGATTCACACTGAACTATCCCTTCGTCCCCGCCCCAGGGAGTGGCTAGATGGCTGTTGTTTCTTTTCTTTTTTCCCTGTGGTCCTTCGGTAACACCACAAATTACGTTTTCAGGGACTGGAGTCCCAGAGTGCAATGATGTTGTAATAAACATAACCAGGACCAAATGCCTTCCCATCATATTAGATGATGCCATTTCCCACCAATCAGGCTCCTTGGGCAGGCAGACCACTCACCAATGAGGGACCAGACAGAGGCTGTGGGGGGGAGACCTGGTCATCTGCAACTAAAAATAAGGGCGCTTCATGATTGGCTGCTGCCACTTTGCAACAGGAGTTGGGACCCACACACCAGGCGCCACACAGAACGACCCACACAGGCAAAAACTTTCACAGCCCAGGGGCTCACATGGGTGGGCTGATCCGGGTCTGTTTGTTTTGTTTGTTTTCCTAATTTGCTGACTTGATACAATAAATAAAGACCTAATTCAGGGGGAGCCCCTCGCAGACACACCCTCCCACCTAGACACCTCGGTTTCCAAAGGCCCTTCGCAGCTACAAAGAACTGGGGAACAGGATGGGGGCGTCGGCCAGAGGCCAAGACACTCACCTGTCCGGCCGTGTCATAGAGTCCTAGGAGGTACTGCTTGCCCCCCACGGTGACGCTGACTGCAAGGACAGAAGTGGGGGCGGGGAGAGAAGCTCACAATGACCTGGGCTCTGGGGCAATTTCGCTCCCCACCCGGACCCTCCTCTCCCAACCCAGCTAGAGGCGTGGGGGCGCTCCCCGCGAGATGTCACCCCCTTTTTCCGTGCGCCCGGCTCACTGAGAACCGGCAAGGGGCCGGGGTGTGATGTGGTCCCCAGGCGTCCACCCCTTCTCCCAAGTCCCGTAGACACGTCTCGCCCGGTCCCCTCGAATATTTCCCCTGGGGCCTCCGGGCAGTAAGAAAGGGGATGTGGGAAGGTCAAGGAGGACGGCCCGGGGCGCCGAGGGGTAGGAAGTGCGGGAAGCAGGGGCCGCTTGGGGGGCGGGTGGGAGAGGGGGTGGATCAGCGGGCGAGGGGTTGCCAGGAGCGAAGCTTCGGGGGTGGGGCCGGCCGCCTGGCAGAGGGTGCGGCGGGGGAGGGGAGAGGAGCGCGCTCGGGGGAGGCGGCGAGGGGGCTCCGCCAAAGTTGCTCCAAAGTTCCCGGCCCGGGGAGCGGCCCCTTAGTCAGCAGTTCCGAGGCTTACCTGCGTAGTGGTCGAAGACGGTGGGCACGTACTCCTCCGGGAAGGCGTCGTTGGCATAGCTCATGAGTAGGCACGTCTTGCCCACCGCCCCGTCGCCGACCACCACGCACTTGAGCATCAGCGCGCCGGGCCCGTGAGCCATGCTGCGGCCGGCCGCCCTCCGGGCATGATCCCCCCGGAGCCCCCACCCCGGCCCCGGGCTCAGCCCCAGCCCGCCTGGGGGGTCCGCCGCCGTCGCCGCCGCTCGGCGCCGCAGGGCCGCCCCCCCGGCCCCATGCAGCGGCTCCCCTTGCCGGAGGGGAGGCGGCGGCGGGCCCGGGGCGCTGCCGCCGCCGCGGTCGCCGCCCGGATCCCCGCCCCGGCCCCTGTCGCCGCGCCCGCCCGCTGCCCCCGCCACTCGGCGCCCGCGCCCTCTCCCCGGCCCGGTCTCCCCAGGAGGATCCGCCGGATCATAAGACCGGCCGGCCCCGGGGGAGACGGCAACTTTGGGGAGGGCGGCGGAGGGGAGGGGCCAGGAGGCTCTCTCCGCCCCGCGCCGGCCCGGGCCCCTCCCGCGGCGCCCCGGAGGAGGGCGGGCCCAGGCGCCTCCCGGAGCGCGGCCCTCGCCCCGCGCCCCCGCCCGCCACCTCCGGGCGGCCCAGCCGGCGCACCCGAGCCTCACTCCCCGCGAGGGCCGCGCGGAGGGGCGCGCAGGAGGAGGAGGAGCCGAGGACCGCGGAGGGGAGGAGGGGAGTAGGGGAGCCGCGCTGGGAAGCCGAGGGCTCCTCGCGCAAGTGCCCGCAGCGCCCGGAAGCGTCCACAGGCCCCGATGCTGGGAGAAGATGTGGAGGCCTCTCGGGGAACCAGGACCACTTCCACGATGACGCAATAGTCATGCCAAATTATACATGTGTATTTCACCTCCACCCGGCAGGCCAGAGCCATCCTCTCGGCCTCTAAGTGCACAACGGAACTAGAAATCAAGGAAGAGAGACCAAAAGGGTAAAAAAAAAAAAAAAAAAAAAAAAAAATTTAAGGCGCTTGGGGTGGTGGGGGTCCTTGAGCTGGAAAGCAGAGACCCTGGCTTATTGCGTGGTTCCCTCACCACCACCACCACCCCCACCCCCACGCCTTCCGTAGCACGAGCTTGAATCATTTACTATGAAACCGGTGACTAAGGGAGATACAGCGTGTTGAACCACTGAAGCACGCCCCCCCCACACACACCAGCCAGAAAAGGGATACCCCGTCGGCTCTGAACCTGGCAAATGTACCTGGGCTCCCCCTGGAGGCCACATTCTCCGAGGTCCCCTTTCGGTCCCCAGTGTCCCTCAGGTATTCCGTTGTAATCCGGGAGAACTGATACACCCTAGTGCTCTGAAACTTGGCCTGTGCTCGAGGCGGAAACCCCTGCCCCTCTGCCTGGCGACGCTTGAACACACCCGTCTGGCCAGGTCCCGTTCACTGGCCAAGAGTGTAGCATTGAACATGGGGCACTGGGGCAGGGGTGCACTCCACGCTGACACCACACTCCACCCCTTAACTTGCTGACCAGGGATAATCGCTTCCTTTCATCGATTCACAGCGTTAGAAAAATGCAGCGTTGAGAGGCAGCGCGGAGGTCAACTGGACCATCATCCTTAGGTTGCAGGAAAGAAAACTGAGACCTAGAAAGATGAAGCAGTTGTCCCAAAGGCTTCCAGCTGCTCCCAGTACTCAAGGACTTGGAGCACACTTGGGGAGATTCTCACTGTTGTATTCCCATTCCTCACTTTTCAGGAGGCCTGAACTCTCAAACTCCGAATCTGATTTCCACTCTCCCAGGAGGGCTACGGAAATAACGGAAAGTTCCTTGCAGATTTTCACTGAGCCTCTCCCCAGTCCCCACCCTTTGGCCCTGTGTGTCTGCGAGTAGGAATGCGCATTGCTAGCTACTTTCGATGCAATGAACCTGGAAGATATTTTGTATGGACTGAATAACAGGTTGAGGAAGGCAGAACAGTGCCTTCAGGTCAGTTCCTGGTTCAAGACCGGCCTCTGCCACTTGCTCTTAGAGGTAAAGAGAGCAGGGCCTGCCCCGTTCTTCACTTGCAGGACCATTTGTTCAGGCAGCATTTGCAGGGACTCGTATTCCGAAAGGAAGGTCTATCCAGGAGCTTGAGAAGGAGAGCACTCAGCCAGGAGAGGTGAGTTTGGTCCCAGCTCTGACCCTGGTTAGCAGTGTTACCTTGAGCATGTCACTTCCTTTCTCTGGGCCTCCGTTTTCTCATCTATAAATGTGAACTAAGAGTAGGAGAAGCTCTGGGAATGTCATAGCACTCCAAGTGGGGAACTGATGTCCGATGAATCATGCAGTGGTGACTTCATTGGTGACAGTGACCTCATTCTTTTGGCCCACAGAGATGCCGAAACTGACTGCCAGGAATACTTAGAGCTCTGGGGCTGATCCCACTTGGTGTGTATGTGGGATGGGGAGGGGGGCTATCCAGAATGCTCCCCTGTCAGCCCATGAATGCCTTAGCTGGAAGCACCAATCAGACCTCAACAGAAACCTCATTTTCCCATGAGCAAAGAAGATAATGTCCAAGTGGTAAAAAATAAATAAATAAATAAATAAATAAATAAATAATAAAAAAAAAGAGGTTAAAGAAAAAGCTCTCAAATTTCAGGGATTGGAGACAGAAAGCACTTTGTTTCTGAATGTCCCATAGGCTGTCTGCTTGCTTCTCTCCTTTTATTTGTGCAAATGTTGAAACAGACACAGGTCTGTGTGAGAACAGCGAAATTTCTTTTTTCTTTCTTTTTTTCTTCTTCTTCTTCTTTTTTTTTTCAGCTAAATTTCTTTTTTCTTTCTTTTTTCTTTCTTCTCTTTCTTTTTTTTTCTTTTTTTTTTTTTTTTTTTTTTTTTGAGACAGGGTCTCGCTCTGTTGCTCAGGCTGGAGTCTGGAGTGCAAAGGCTTGATCTTGGCTCACTGCAACCTCTGCCTCCCTGGTTCAAGTGATTCTCCAGCCTCAGCCTCCAAGTAACTGGGATTACAGGCATGTGCCACCACGCTCGGCTAATTTTTGTATTTTTTTGTAGAGCGGGGTTTCGCCATGTTGCTCAGGCTAGTCTCGAGCTCCTGAGCTCAAGGTGATCCGCCTGCCTCAGCCTCCCAAAGTTCTGGGCTTACAGGTCACTGCACCTGGCTGAGAACAGTGAAATTCCTAATTAGCCTTCTCTTACTCTTTTTCCTTTACTCCCTCCTTCCTCCCCTACTTAATTCATTCCATATTTCAATTAACAAGCATTTATTGAGGTCTGTTAGATGCCAGATTTTATTCCTGGGCAGGGGACAAAGAGCTGGAAAGCCACAGTCACTTCTAGCTAAAGCATTCAAGGAACTTATTAGCAAACAGGCAAGCACTCTATATAATAGTGTGAGCAGTGCTGTGCTAGAGAATAGAGAATAGGCTTCTGGAGGTGCAGAGGAGGCAGTTAGTACACAGCTCCGGGTGTGCTGAGCAAGGATTTGCAGAAGTGATGTCATTGACCTGGGACTTAAGAGTCTAATGGGAGTGAGGTAAGAATGCCTGGGAAAGGCCAAGAGCCCTGCATCAAAGCAAGAAGGAACAGTACACAACTTTCTGGGAATGGTGACGCGTGTAAGGTGGACAGAGTGCATGATTAGTGGTGCTGGGGAACTGGTTTGTATTTAATTGGGAACCATATAATGCAGGCAGTCCATGAGCTTCTGAAAAGACATATGAAGAAGAATGCAGGGTCTGGCATGGGTTGGGCAGTCTCCACTGTCCAAAGGCCAGGACCAACGGGGCCACTGAGGAAGAAATATGGTCGACACGCTTACTACAAAGGCATGGCCCCAGCTCAAAGCTGTGTTCATTGCAAGAAGGGCACTTTTTTCTTGTCACAAATATGACTTCTGTTTGTCAAACCCTGTGCCCATAGGGGTGTATCCACTCAGAGGGGAACCTTGGTCTGTGTAGCAAAAGATGAAGGCACTGTCTAGGCAAGCAGTGGTTCTGGGAGCAAGGATGTAATGAAGGGAATAAACACAAATTTCTAGAGCATCTGCTGTATACTTTATCCACTTACGGTCCCAGGTATTTGGTGCTCATTGATATAGGACATCTTATTTCATCTCCCAAACAACCTTGTAAACTTTGTAGAGAGCATCTATTGGTTTGTCTATCCAGAACAGCACCATTTGCTTCTGCTAAATGTTTTTATAATGTAATCTCTGTAATCATGTGGTTTAAATGGAAGCTGCCATCTTCTTATACATCCTGACCCTGGTACCTGTTGAGCCCTAGGTGGACACCTGATTCAAGATGGGACAATTAGAAATTAGAACTGTTTCCTGAATTTTTTTTTTTTTTTTTTTTTTTTTTTTTTTTGAGACAGAGTCTCACTCTGTCTCCCAGGCTAGAATGCAGCGATGCAGTCTTGGCTCACTGTAGCATCAACCTTCCAGGTTCAAGCAGTCCTCTCACCTCAGCCTCCCAAGAAGTTGGGATCATAGGCATGAGCCACCACGCCTTGCCTGAGAATTTTGAATTTGGGATTCACAGCAGGAGTTTCTCCTCTTTTGCTAACTGAACTGGGCAATGTGAGGCTGGAAGCTGTAGGCCATTCATGTTTCAGCCATTCACAAAGTAGTCAATACAAGGAGATGTAGCTAAAGTGCAGAGAGAAGCAAAGATAGAGAGAGAACACCACCACCATTACCATCACCACCACCACTACTCCCCCATCAAAAAGGGCAGAGAGGAAACAGGCCATGTGTGAGTGACTGATTTGTATTATCCCCGAGATCCTGTTGCACAACTGTTCTCCAGTTGGTCAGTTGAGTTAATAAATCTTCCCCTTTTTTTTACCCAGTGAGTAGGGGTTAGTTTTCTGTAACTGGTAACCAAAGGAATCCTATTACAATATTATAACTATAGTTCAGATAGATGATGAGATTAAGAAGCTTGCCCCAAATCACACAGCTGGTAAGTGGCAGAGCTAGGTTTCAAAATCATCTGTCTTCAGAGCTCATGCGTTTGCCATATTTCATATTGACAAGGTATCAAACGTTTTTGAGTAAAAATATGACAAGCTTAGACTTATCATTTGAGAAGGTCACTCTGGGACTCATAGAAAGTGGATTTGGAAAGGATAAGGGTGAAGGTAGAAAGAGCCAGGAGGAGACAGATCACAACAGCCTGACCCAAGCATGGGAGTAAACATGAAGAGGAGGCAGTGGGTTTCAGCGAGATTCGGATGATGGAATCACAGGGCTTGTTAGCAGTGTGGGGATGACAGAGGAGGCGAGAGAGAACAAGGTTTTTACGATAACTCTGAGGCATCTACATTATGATTTCATCTACTTTCTTTTTTTTTTTTTTCTTTTTAATGTCCTCTGTTGTTATCTTCCCACTTCTTCTTTGGACTTCTTCCTCGTTTTTTAAGCCTTTCCATCTCCAATTGTTTCCTAACCACGCAACTGACTGTCTAAATCAAGCTGAGATTAGAACTCTAGAGGACAGTATGTTCTAAAACACATTCATTTGCATCATTTTGTGTGTTCCCTCATGTCTGCTTAGGAAATGGAAAAATGGACTCCAAGGGATCATTTGGTGTTGTGGCTAGGATGCTTTAGGTTGCAAGTCATAGAAAATTCAACTCGAACCAGCTTCAGCAACGAGGGAAATATATGGACTTCTGTTATGGAAAAATCCATAAGTAGTCCAACCTTCAGGAATGAATTGATCAGAACTCTCTCTCTTTTTTTTTCCTGCACGTCTCTCAGTTTTTCTTCTTCTCTATGGGTCAACTTTCTACTTAGCATACCTTCTTTCCTGGAAGCAAAATGGTTGCACCAAGTCCAGGCATCACCATCCACATACCATGTTTCCCAGAAGGAAAGAGAGTTTCTCTTGACCCACTCATTAAACAAAGTCTTGGACTTCTTCTGATTAGCTCAACTTAGTTCATCCCTAAACCAATCATGGTGCATAGTAAACTGTCAGGTGACTGTTGCCTTAGGCCTGGGCTACTGTCCATCCCTAAAACCATCACTGTGGCAAGGAGTTGGGACTATCCTAATTGGGCCTATCAGCCCTGCCCCCACAGGGGCTGGGGTTTCACACCTACCCAGGTTCTATGGTTTCTGCACAGTGGGTGACAAGTTTGGGGGAATGCATGCTGAGAAGGCAACCAGCAATATACATCTACATTGTTGCTTAAGGGTCAAAGTTCCTAGGCCTTCCCCTGGCTACACTGGAAATAAAGAATTTTAGGAGAGGCCAGGCACAGTGGCTTATACCTGTAATCCCAGCACTTTGGAAGGCCGAGGTGGGAGGATCAGTTGAGGTCAGGAGTTCAAGACCAGCCTGGGCAACATGGTGAAACCCCGTCTCCACTAAAAATAGAAACATTAGCCAGGCGTGGTGGCGGGCGCCTGTAATCCCAGCTACTCGGGAGGCTTGAAATGGGAGACAGAGGTTGCAATGGGCTGAGATGGTGCCACTGCATGCCAGCCTGGGAGCCAGAGCAAGACTCTGTCTCAAAAAAAAAAAAAAAAAAAAAAAAAAAAAAAAAGTTTAGGAGAGAGGCAAATGTTAAGAGGAGAGGAAGGTGAGAAGGCTCCAAATAAAATCTGTGATTTGTTCCAAATTTCAGGTGGATTGTCAATACAGGAATCCATACTGACTCTGAATCCCTAATTTTGGCCTGTATTCTTCTTCCTCTCTGAACCATCTTCTTAGAAGTCACTGGTAAGGAGATAAAATGATGGTCATTCTTTAACACTTCTTCCCACCACAATGCCCAGAATCCTCACAATGCAGCCTCTTCACTCCCCAGGGTGCCTATTGGCCTTCCCTACAGCATGCTGCCACATGCCCTACCTATCCCTATCCCTATTTTTCTCCCTGCCACTAAAACCTCCCATTGGCACCCTCTTCTTTTAGTGCTCCAGTGTATGTACACTGCACAATATTCTGAGCTAAGGTATTAATGACTTAAACACCACAGCAATTTCTTAAAGGTCACTGGTTCCTAATGATCGGGCTGATAAATAAACCCAGTAGGATTGGTTTGCCTGGTTTTCATTCCCAGTTAGAATGTACATAGATCTCTTTTTCTAGTTCATTATATACCAGAAACTCAGAAGTATGGCCCAGCCTCTGAGAACTTCGGCTCAAGCACTGTTAATGTTTTGCCATTTTCATTTCTAACTGTTTCCTGCCAAAACCTAAGTTCAGGAGACTAGTCATTATTACTGATGGCATCACCACCCATTGCTGAACTATAGCAAAGGACATTTCCTTACAGGTTGCTGGTATGGAATACTCATATGATTTATGAGTGGTCTCCTCTCATAGGCTCCAAAGGAGGCTAGATCACAGATCCCTCCTCCAAAAATGAAATTAATGATTTTATTTTGTGTTTCAGTGTCGAGAGTGCCAGAAAACCATCCCAAGACTCACATAGGGTTGTTCCTCATAGTGGATGTTTTGGCCACTGGACATCAGAACCACATTTTGAGTTTGAAGAATCTTCTACATGGTGAGCCTTGGTGGGAAGAAAAGAATATCCCTTCCTTATAGAAGCTGAAATTACAGACTCTTGCTTTCCTTGTCAGACTTAAAAGCTAGTGTAGCTGGAGTTAAATACAGGGCACATTGTCTCTGGAGACTGCAGCTTTAGTGGTGGGTACACAATTCAGTTCCTGACCCAGGAAGTGGCACATTAGGGCAGGCAGTGATGTTGGTTGTGGTATAATTGAGTTCCTGGTTCAGAAGTGACAACTGTACACATAGGATGTCTAGGGTTTGGTGAAAGCAATGGTATTGAAAGTGGTTTTCTCATCAAATTAGTTCCTGAGTCATGTGTTGGACACTGTTTCTATCTTGAGCAGCTTCTCTAGCCTTTCTACAATCCTGTGACCTGCCTGTGATCCTTTTAAGATTTCTTTTCTGTTTCATCGGCCACAAACAGCTTCTGTTGCTTGCAACCCAGGCTCCTGAGAAGGGACTGGAGAAGCAGATCACTTTATTGATGTGCTTCAGGTAGAGAGAGTAGAGATTTCCACCTCCACCATACCCAAATAGCTGGTACTAGATGTACCTTTCTAATGTGAGCAACTTTAAAATTGAACAGAATATATGAAACCTCTCTTTTCAAACATTGAACAGCATGTAGCACAGGACTGTGATTCCTGAAAGTAGCGAACAAATGGGGCAAACCCTACTATCACTCTAACTTTCTCTCTGGATTTGCTCTCTGGATTGTAGCACAATGAGGGGGAGCCCAAACAGAGCATAGTGGTCTTGCCAAGTTGAGGAGATAGTTGAGCAAACTTTTCAAGGCAGAGTATCAGAGAGGAGAGAATATAACAGCCAAAAAGTCTCCTGGGATCCCTTTGAATCCGTTGCTGAATACTAAGCTGCATATGCGTAAGGTGAAACTTCACAGTGCTAGGCAAAGAACTACCACGGAGCTGTGAGCTGATTGGTTCCCAGACCTCACTGGGCAATGTTTGAGTTTCAACTCGCCAATGTGAACAAACCTTGCTGACTGTCCAGGGAATTCAGTAGAAATCCCGAAAGGGGAAGGCATTAGTAGAAGGGCTAACTAAGCCGAAAAGTAGAGGTAACTCTAGACCCTCCAATAAGGTTTAGAAAGCAGCCTCAAAAAGAGGAAGTTCATCCACTACTACCATAACTGCCAGCCAAAACAAATTTTACCATTTTTAAAGCCACAACAAAATACAGACATTTAACAACATTAAATTCAGAATGTTAAAAATACTATTTATGCAAATAAGTAGGGAAATAGAACCCCAAATCAGGAGAAAAATCATGTAATAGAAACAAACCCCAAAATGACAGAGATAATAACGTTAGCAGACAAGGACTTTAAAAATTAAAATAAACACAACGATTTAAAGGAGAACATGAACATAGTGAAGAAAAACCTGGAAGATATAGAAAATAACCAAATGGAACTTGTGGAGCCAAAAAATACAACACTTATAATGAATAATTCAGTGGCTGAGCTTAACAGTAGATTAGACATTGTGGAATGAAGTATCTGTGACACTGAAGACATAGCAGTAGAAACTATCCAAACAAAGCAGAGAACAAGGAAACAAAAGAAACATGGAAACACAGAGTCTCAATCACCTTAAGATGATATTAAATGATTTAATGTACACGCATAACTGGAGTCCTCGGAAGGGATTAAGGGTGGTGATTTGAAGACATATGGCCAAAAAGTCCCAAATTTAATGGAAACTATAAACATATAGATCCAAGAAGCTCAACAAATCCGAAGTAGGATAAGAACAAAGCAAACCATATCAAGCGAGGCACTTCGTAATTAAATCACTGAAGACCAGTAATAAGTAGGAAAAAATTAACAGCAGAGAGAAAAAAAGACACATTTTATACAGGGAACAAAGACAGATATAATTGCAGACTTCTCTTCAGAAATAATGCAAACTAGAACTTAATGAAATCGCGTCTTTAAAGCGATAAAAGAAAAAGAAAGCACTGTCAATCTAGAATTCTATATCCACCAGAAATATTCTTTAAAATTGAAGGTAAGATAAATGTTTGTCAGACAATAAAAGGCTTAAAGTTTTTTTTTAAACCAGAAGATCTTCAATACAAGAAATACGAAATAAAGTTCCTGAGGCAGAAAGAACATAGTACCAGATGAAACCACTGGCCTACACAAAGAAATGAAGAGCACTAGAAATGGTAAATATATGGGTAAATATGAGACATTTCTTTCTCTGTTAAAAAATGCCTTTAAAACATAATTGATCTTGGCTGGGTATGATGGCTCACACCTGTAATCCCAGCGCTTCTGGAGGCTGAGGCAGGTATATTGCTTGAGCCTGAGAGTTTAAGACCAGCCTAGGCAACATGGCAAAACCCTATCTCTACAAAAAATACAAAAATATAGCTGGGTGTGTCCCAGCTACTCAGGTGGCTGAGGTGGAATGATCACTTGAGCCCAGGAGGTCAAGGCTGCATGAGCTGAGATCATGCCACTGCACACCAGTCGGGGTGACAGAGCCAGACCATGTCTCAAAAAAAAACAAAACCCAAACTATTTTTTATATGTATATACGCATATATATACACACATACTATATATATGATATAACATTATATATAATGTTAGATATATAATATGTTAGATAAATGACATTAGATCTATAATATAATGTTAGATATATAACATTAGATATATATATAATTAAAAATAAAAAACACAGTTGACCATCTAAAGCAAAACTAATAGCAGTATTTACATGGTTTATAACATGTAGAAATAAAACCTATAAAAATAATAACAAAAGGGATAGAAAAACAGAAATAGAACTATATTCTTATAAAATCCTTACATTGCACATTAAGTGGTAGAGTATCATCTGAAAGTTGTCTTAGTCTCTTCCTGCTGTCATAGCAATCTACCATAGACTGGGTCATTCATAAATAATAAAAATTCATTTCTCATAGTTCTAGAGGCTGGGAAGCCTAAGATCAAGGAATCAGCAGATTTGGCATCTGGTGAGGGCTCACTCTCTGCTTCCAAGATGGCATTTTGTTGCCGCATGCTCCAGAGGGAAAGGAACAAACACTATGACCTCACATGGTAGAAGGGAAAAGGGGGTTAAAACAAACAACAACAAAAAACTCTCTTAGGCCCTTTTACAAGGGCACTAATCCCATCCATGAGGGCTCTCCACTTCCAAATTACCTCCCAAAGTTTCCACCTCTTAATACCATCACCTTGGGGTTTAAGTTCCAACATAAATTTTGGAAGGATACATACATTCAAACTATAACAAAGGTAGACTAAGAAAAATTAAAGATGCATGTCATAAAACCTAGAGTAATCCCAATAAATAAATAAATAAATAAATAAATAAATAAATAAAACAAAGAGGTATTTCTAATAAGCCAACAGTAAAGACAAAGTGGAATACCCAAAAGAAAAAAAAAAAAAAAATCAAAAACAAAGTCAGGAGGATGCCAAGATCATTCAGTGGTCTTAGGAAAAGACTAGTCTCTTCAATAAATGGTGATTAGACAAACTAGATATCCACATACAAAAGAATGAATCTGGATCCTTCCCTCTCAACATATACAAACATTTACTCAAAATGAATTGACAACCAAAAGTTATGAGCTAAGACCATAAACTTTTAGGAGAAAACCTAGGGATAGATCAACAGTTTCTTATATATGATGTCAAAAGCATAACAACAAAAGCAAAACCAAAACTGGACTTCATAAAAATTAACAAAACTTTTCTGCATCAAAGGACATTATCAAGAAAGTAAAAAGACAACATACATAATGAGAGAAAATACTTAAAAATCAAATACCTCATAAGACTCTAGCATCCAGAATGTATAAAGTTATCTTATCATTCAACAATAAAATGACAAATAATTTATTTTTTAAAGGGGCCAAAGACTTGAACAGACATTTCTCCAAACAAGATATAAATCACCAACAAGCACATCATTAGTAGTTAGTCATTAGGTAAATGTAAATAAAAACCTCAATGAGGTACCCCTTTACACCCATTAGGATGGCTATAATTAGGGGTAGGGGAAGGAAAATAAGTGTTGGTGAAGATGTGAAGAAATTGGAACCCTATTCATTGCTAGTGGGAACGTAAAATGGTTCAACCTCTGGAAAACAGTTCAAAAGTTTTTGAAAAAGTTAATTATAGAATTACAATAAGACCCAGCAATTCTAGAGCTAGGTATATATCCAAAAGAATTGAAAACAGGTCCTCAAATAAATACATGTGCATACCATGTTCATAGTGGCACTATTCCCAGTAGCCAAAAGGTGAAGACAGCTCAAATGTTTATCAATTGGTGAATGGATAAATTGTGGTGTATTGATACAGTGGAATATTATTAAGCCATAAAAAGTAATGAAGTGCTGATACCTGCTACAATGTGGATGAACCTCAAAAACGTTATGCTAAGTGAAAGTAGCCAGACACAAAACGCTATATGTTGTATGTTTCCATTTACATGAAATATCCAGAACAGGTAAATTCATAGACAGAATGTAGGTTGGTGGTTGCTATGGGCTGGGGATGGTAGGGTTTGAAGGGAAAATGAGGAGCAACTGCTTAATGTGTATGAGGTTTCTTTCTGGAGTGATAAAAGTGTTTTGAAACTAGATAGAGGCAATAGTTGTACAACTTTATGAATGTAATAAATGCTACTGAAATATTCACTTTAAATTCACCTCAATTAAAAAATATGTATCCACCAACCAAGAGAAAAATAAGGTAATATGGTTTGGCTGTGTCCTCACCCAAATCTCATCTTGAATTGTAGCTCCCATAGTTCCCACGTGCCATGGGAGGGGCCCGGTAGGAAGTAATTGAATCATGGGCTCGGGTCTTTCCTGTGCTGTTCTTGTGCTAGTGAATAATTCTCATGAAATCTGATGGTTTTACAATGGGGAGTTCCCTGTACAAGCTTTCTCTTGCCTGCTGCCATGTAAGACGTGTCTTGCTTCCCCTTTGCTTTCTGCCATGATTGTAAGGCCTCCCCAGGCATGCTGAACTGTGAGTTTTTCCTTTATATATTACCCAGTCCTGGGTATGTCTTTATTAGCAATGTGAGAACAAACTGATACATCAGGAAAAGAGGAAAAAAGGAAGAAAGAATAGCTGTTTAAAATGGAAAATGAATAGCAAGATAAAAGACTTAAATCCAACCATACTGATAATTATATCATATATAATAACACTTGGGGAGAGTGCAGGGCAGGTGGCCAGGGAAAGCAGGTAATAATGAGAATCTTTGTGTTTGAAGACCTAAATGACAAACTGTTTGACCTCTGAAATGAGTATTAGAGAAGGGAGGAGGGTGATAGTTCTTGGTTCCTGAAAGTTGGATTGCCTGACCTACCCTGAGATAGTGGCAGAGTTGGGGGCATGACCACCCCACCCACCAGCACCATCCCTTTACTGTGCACAGGCCTGAACCTCTTCTTGGCTTCTGTTCAGCCCAGTGCTTCTCTCCTGGAGCCATCCTGATCTCTCACATGCTGTAGGGACCAGGGAATCCTGGGGCTGGAAGAAGAGAGGGCTCTGTATGTAGGTGATAGGAGACCGAGCTGCATTCTGGAGAGGTGCAGCTGTGGCCTGAACTGAGTGATCCTGAGACTTTCAGTTAAAGGTGGGAATTTCCAGCAGATGCCATACAGTCAGGGATATCCTCCAACCCTCTTTGCAGCAATATAACAGGACAGGTTATAAATATATTGAAATAATTTCTTTCTGGTTTAAAAACATTTCCTGCCCTGAGCTCCCTGAGAGCCCTGATCAGGCCACTGCATCACCCTCACGTTCATCATCTTTGTACCCCTCTCTCCTTCAACTCAAAGAAGGTTGCAAATTCCTAAGATTGTTGAGAGTCTATTGGGGAGACTGATTCCTCACCACCCACCCATTCATCCATGGGTTCAATAAATTATTATTATTATCATCATCATTATTAAAGACAGGTGTCACTCTGTTGCCCAGGCTGGAGTGCAGTGGCACAATCACGGCTCACTGCAGCCTCAAACACCTGGGCTTTAGTGACCCTCCCGCCTCAGCCTCCTGAGTAGCTGAGACCATAGGTGCACACCACCATGCCTAGCTCATTAAAAAAATTTTTTGTAGAAATAGGGTCTTACTATGTTTCCCAGGCTGGTCTCAAACTCCTGGCCTCAAGCAATCCTCTTGCCTTGGCCTTCCAAAGCACTGGGATTACAGGCATGAGCCACCACACCCAGTCAAATCATTATTATTAAGCTACTGCAATGTACTAGACTCTGTGGGCAGTGTTGAGATGAGTGCAGAGTGGGTCAGAAATAGTCCTCTTCCCAAGAAGATCACTGAGGAAGCCCCCAGGCATCGTGAGGGACAGCACTGAATGGGTACAGTCTCTTCCTTGCAAACCAGTACCTTCCCTGCATTAGGTTGAGCTGTGTCTAACAGCAATCGTGAGGCTAGCCAGGACTTGTCATGGTGAGAATCAAGTCAGTATCAAAGCAGTGTTGGGCATCTGAATGTGTAACTCGAGGCTGAGGACTAGTAGAAACTGCTTCTGATGTTCCTGCCCTCCCTCTTGGGGCTGTCCCTACCCACAGCTTCCAGGTTAGAGGCCTGGGCAGCCAGCTGCCTTCGAAGGGCTATTTCCCAGGGTTCCTTGCTGACTTCGTACCTACCCTTGGCCCCTCTGGAGGCTTCCTAGGGCTCTGACCTCCAGCCTGGGTCAACTTCTCCATAGGCAGCTCTAGAAGTATGGTTCAAGGAAGGGCAGAATGAGGAGCTCTGGGAGCCCATGGGCAGGGAAGTGGTGATTTGTAAATGACAGCATCTGATATTTCTCCCTCACTTTACAAAGCTTGTTTGCTTCTTCCACTATTTGGCCTTCTCAGCTCCACCGTGAGGGCAACAGGACTCCTCATCAACATCCTGGTTTTACAGAAGTAGTTTTGTGTCTCTGGGTGAATTCAAGCAGATTGTCAGCCTTTATCCAGATTGCCCAGCCTGTGAGTGGCATCAGGACTGGGGTCTGAACCTCTGATGCCCAGTCCCGGATGCATCTTCTGACACCAAGATGCTGCCCATGGAGCCTCTAAGGCAGAGGGAGACCTCCTGTTCCAGGGTCAGCCTGGTTTCCACCCTCATGAAGTGGGAGAAGGGAGTCCTGCCCCGGAGGAGTCACCATCCTATGATGCCCCGTGTCTACACAGCACGTGGGGCATGCCCACTATTAGCCATATAGACTACTTATATGCCATGCAGCCAGACTCTCAGATCACTGCCACCACCCCGTTCCCACCTTCAAAGAGGGCTATTTCAGGGGATAAATACTTTGACAAGTGGATTGAATGGCTACATGAGACCTTCCAAGATCGTCTTAAGTAACAACAGATAATTGCTTCACTGCTTTCTAAGAAGGGTGAATTTATTTAACTTGTAGTGCAGTGTTTCTCAAAAATCTTGTCCTGCAAATTGCAGTAACAAATACATTTTTCATTGTGAACTGGAATACATTCACATACATATATTATGTTTGTGTGTGTGCACATGTATCTATATATATAACAAAAGGTTTGATATAACAATACTTAACCTTACCACCTGTAATGAATTCTGGATTTTTTATTCCATTTGGTTTCATTTTTTTTAATTCAGTGATGACCTACTAAATGATTTCACAGTCCACCAGAGGGTCACGGTCCACACCTGGAGACACTCCAATGCAGGTCTATGCTGGCTGAGTGCACTGGCTTGTGGCTGGAGGTGAGTGCTCAGGACCACAGAGGGATGGAACCTCTATAACTTAACAATAACAAAAAAACAAACAACCTGATTTTAAAAATGGGCAAAGAACTTGAGTAGACAGTTTCCAAAGAAGATAAGCAAATGGCCAAAAGCACATGAAAAGATGCTTAATATCACTTGTCATTAGGGAAATGCAAATCAAAACCACAATGGTACCACAATGGGTAATTTCATATCCATTAGGATGGCTGTTATTTAAAACAACAACAACAACAACAAACCCAGGACCAGACATGGTGGCTCACACCTGTAATCCCAGCACTTCGGGAGGCTAAGGGGGAGGATCACTTGAGGCCAAGAGTTCAAGACCAGCCTGGGCAACAAAGTGAGACTCCTTCCTCTACAAAATAATTTAAAAATTAGTTGGACTGGCTGGGCACAGTGGCTCACACTTGTAATCCCAGCACTTTGGGAGGCCAAGGCGGGTGGATCACAAGGTCAGGAGATCACGACCATCCTGGCTAACACGGTGAAACCATGTCTCTACTAAAAATACAAAAAATTAGCTGGGCATGGTGGCAGGCGCCTGTAGTCCCAGCTACTGGGAGGCTGAGGCAGGAGAATGGTGTGAATCTGGGAGGCGGAGCTTGCAGTGAGCCGAGATCGCGCCACTGCACTCCAGCCTGGGCGACAAAGCGAGACTCCGTCTCAAAAAAAAAAAAAAAAATTAGTCGGACATGGTGGTGTGCACCTGTAGTCCCAGCTACTCAGGAGGCTGAAGTGGGAAGATTGCTTGAGCCAGGAGTTTGAGGCTGCAGTGAGCTGTGATCATGCCACTACACTCCAACCTGGGCAACAGAGCCAAGACACAAAAGAAATAAAAAAACAAAAACAAAACCAGAAAATAGCAAGTATTGGCAAAGTTGTGGAAACATTGGAACCCATGTGCATTGCTGTGAACTGTAAAATAGTGCCGCTGCTGGGGAAAAGGGTGTGGACATTCCTCAAAACACTGAGCCTAGAACTACTATGTGATCCAGCAATTCCACTTCTAGGCATATACCCCAAAGAAGAGAAAGCAGGTCTTTGAACAGACATTTATATACCCATGTTCATAGCAGCATTATTCACAATGGCCGAGAAGGGAGAGCAACCCAAGTCTCTGTGAATGGATGAGTAGACAAAATGTGGTATATACACACAGTGAAAATATTCAGCCACAAAAAGGAAGGAAATTCTGACTGGTGCTACAATATGGGGAATCCTGAAGACATCATACTATGTGAAACAAGTCAGCCAAGGAAGGACAAATATTATGATTCTATTTATAGGAGGTACCTGGAGTAGTCAAATTCATAGAGACAGGAAGTAGAATGGTGGTTGCCAACAGTTACTTGGGGAAGAGTATGTGGGGTTAGTGTTTAATGGATACACAGTTTAAATTTGGGAAGATGAAAAAGTTCTGGAGATGGATGGTGGTGATAGTTGCAAAACCATGTGAATATTCTTAATGCTACATAAATGTACACTTAAAAAGGCAGAGTGTGGTGGCTCGCACCTGTAATCCCAGCACTTTGGGAGGCTGAGGCAGGTGGATCACTGGTGGTCAGGAGTTCGAGACCAGTCTGGCCAACATGGTGAAAACCCGTCTCTACTAAAAATACATAATTAGGCAGACGTGGTGATGCACGCCTGTAGTCCCAGCTACTCGGAAGGTTGAGGCACAAGAATTACTTGAACCCAGGAGGCGGAGGTTGTAGTGAGCCGAGATCGCACCACCGCACTCCAGCCTGGGCAACAAGAGTGAAACTCTGTCTCAAAATAATAATAATAATAAATAATGTACACTTAAAAATGGTTAAATGGCAAAATTTGTTATGTACATTTTACCACAATAGAACAAAAAAGATAGGTTTCACTTTTAAAATAGGATTTCCAACTTCTCTAAAAAATCAGATCTTATGACATCCTAGTCCACATTTTCTAAGGCAGCAGACCAGGGAAGTACTTGCCCCTTTAGACGGGGTTGGAAATGAAGGGCTTTTCTTTTTGGAGAAACTGCCACTGGAAACTTCTAGATATGCAGCTTTGAAGCAAATGACTCTTGGGGAGAACCTGTCTGCTTTGAAGTAACCTGCCTGCAGATGTTTTAGAAGGAGAAATTCGGCTGTGAATTCTTCACGTAAATTATTTTGGGAGAAAGGTTTCTTCCCCTGCCTGTAGGCATTAGCTTTCTCCAGTCCTGACCAAAGCCTGCTTTGCCAGTGTGAGTGGAGTTCTTGGAACAAAACTCTATGTGGCCCCTTACTTGTCAGCAACTGAAGCAGAGATGAAGCTTTTCAGGCCCTTCTGATTTCCTCTCCAGGTGTCTCCTGTTACTTCCAGAGCAAATGAACTCTCTCGCGCTTGCCTTCTCTCCCAAGCTTGCTCGCGAGGGAGCAGAGTGCCTGTCCCTGCTTTCTCACACCCTCACCTCAAGCTGAGCTGCTCTGTTCTGTGTGGCCAGAGGCCGAATCCTCAGACCTGACACCTAACAGCCCATGGGCCATATCTCTTCCTTCTACTCGCGATGCCTTGTCTTGTGTCCTGGCCCTCACTGTGTACAGGCTCCCTCTGGCTTTTGGCATAGAGTCCAAGACTCCTGCCCCCACCACCCCCAGGCTGATCTTCCTGAGCCCAGGTTTGGTGAAGGTACAGCCATGCTAAGAAGCCTTTGACGGGCTCTTTTGCATAATGCCCCAACTCTCAGGTGGACATTTCCACCCTTCCCCAGCTGCACCCCAGTGTCTTTCTAGACATTGTCCTCTGCAAGTCTCTTGGCTACTGCCAAACCCACCTGCTCTCCACACCCAGACCTCAGACCCCTTTCCAACAGCAGGCCTTTGCCCGCAGTGTTCTCCCCATCCAGAATGTCTTACTTTCTTTCTGCTTATGATGACAGTCCATCTCTCAGTACCCATCATTACTACTCCCTCCCTGACTGGCGCCTTGCCCACAGGGCTGCTCCCTCAGCTGAAGTCTGTAGTCACTCCGGCTGTGTCCTTTCCTGCCCCTTATCCCATCCCATTTTGAGTGCCAGATACTTTTATGGGCCCTCTCTGAAACCACAAGGCATTGCTTGAAGTTGGGTCTCCATAAAGATGTGATTGATTTTTATTTATTTGGATAAATTCTCCTTAATAAATAATACAACTTTCTACATTTTCCAGGTGACTTGCCTCCAAGTTAAAGTACTACGTTGATGTGCCCTGAAACTGTCTGAGTTTTCCTAAATTGGCTTATGTTCTTTCATTTATCTTCATCTCCTTCCCTCCCTATTGGTGTTCTGTTGTTACCCATGGAAGGTCTCAAACCATCCCCTACCTTGTTTAAACATCTTCAGATCAACTATACATTATAAAGGGTATTCACATAGGAAGAGAGGAAGTCAAGTTGCCTCTGTTTGCAGATGACATGATTTTATATTTACAAAACTCCATCATCTCAGCCCAAAATCTTCTTGAACTGATAAGCAACTTCAGCAGAGTCTCAGGATACAAAATCAATGTGCAAAAATCACAGGTATTCCTTTACACCAACAATAGGCAAGCAGAGAGCCAAATCATGAATGAACAATTGCTACAAAGAGAATAAAATACCTAGGAACACAGCTAACAAGGGATGTGAAGGACCTCTTCAAGGAGAACTACAAACCACTGCTCAAGGAAATAAGAGAGGACACAAACAAATGGAAAAACATTCCATCCTCATGGATAGGAAGAACCAATATCATGAAAATAGCCATACTGCCCAAAGTAATTTATAGATTCAATGCATTCCCATTAAACTACCATTGACATTCTTCACAGAATTTAAAAAAAACCTACTTTAAATTTCATATGGAATCAAAGAAGACCCCATATAGCCAAGACAATCCCAAACAAAAAGAACCAAGCTGGAGGCATCACGCTACCTGACTTCAAACTATACTACAAGGCTACAGTAACCAAAACAGCATGGTACTGGTACCAAAACAGACATATAGGGCAATGGAGCAGAGACCTCAGAAATAACATCACACATCTACAACTATCTGATCTTTGAAAAACCTGACAAAAACAAGCAATGGGGAAAGGATCTCCTATTCAGTAAGTGATACTGGGAAAACTGACTAGCCATATGCAGAAAACTGAAACTGAACCCCTTCCTTACACCTTATGTAAAAATTAACTTGAGATGGATTAAAGACTTAAATGTAAAACCCCAAACCATAAAAACCCTAGAAGAAACCTAGGCAATACAATTTAGGACATAGGAATGGGCAAAGACTTCATGAGAAAAATGCCAAAAGCAATTACAACAAAAGCCAAAATTCATGAATGGGATCTAATTAAACTAAAGAGCTTCTCCACAGCAAAGAAACTATCATCAGAGTGAACAGGCAACCTACAGAATGGGAGAAAATTTTTGCAATCTACTCATCTGACAAATGCCTAATATCCAGAATTTACGAGGAACTTAAACATATTTACAATAAAAAAAAAAAAACGTCAAAAAGTGGGGAAAGGATATGAACAGACATTTCTCAAAAGAAGACATTTACGTGGCCAACGAACATATAAATAAAGCTCAATATCACTGATCTTCAAAAAAGTGCAAATCAAAACCATAATGAGATACCATCTCATGCCAGTCAGAATGGCAATTATTAAAAAGTCAGGAAACAATAGATGCTGGTGAGGCCATAGAGAAATAGGAACACTTTTACACTGTTGGTGGGAATGTCAATTAGTTCAACCATTGTAAGAAGATAGTGTGGCAATTCCTCAAGGATCTAGAATCAGAAATAGCATTTGACCCAGCAATCCAATTACTGGGTATATACCCAAAAGATTATAAATCATTCTACTATAAAGACACATGCACAAGTATGTTTACTGCAGCACTATTTATAAAGCAAAGACTTGGAACCAACCTAAATGCCCATCAATGATAGACTGGATAAAGAAAATGTAGTACATACACACCATGGGATACTC